TCAGTTTTCAGAAGGCCTGTCACGAACCAGGAATACTGTATCATACGACTAAAAATTCGCGCACTTAACTGGCTGTGTACGAGTGATGTTAGCTTGATTATATTATTTCTTTGGTACAGATCAATATCGAGTTCATCCAAGGCTACACGTTGATAACATTTTTTGATGAAGTTTTTGAGTTGACGGTTTGTGTAGCAGTCCAATGGCTGCAGATCTGACGTGGTTTTCGGCGGAATTTCGAGACGCTGCAGTTATTTACTACCACACCCTTCTTTCGTATACAAATCTTCGTAGCCCTGACTGGGCCAACTGTCCGACAGCAGAAAACATATATTGCCAACGAATGGCAGTTATCACGCCAGTAGCGTACGAGAGACGACGTCAGTTTGCCGCTGCTGGAGCAGGTTATAACCACATTTCGTGGTTCAAAAAGGCCTTTTTTGATCAATTCATCCCTTCTACTTTTCGGTTCTTGTAAACACAAATACATCGGGCCCACCAACTTGCCTTCAAGAGACATTGTTGGTTGCAGTGTATAGCTATGCGTCATAGCATTTTTTGATCGTACAGTACCGAACACTTTTTTTTCACCTTCCATTGTCAAAGTGCGTTTTGAATAGGGTTCTCTTTCCACACCTACTTGATCCGTGTTAAAGATTTGTGAAGGACTATAATGTGATGATGATTTAAAGAAATTTTCACGAAAGTCATTTTCTGTTTTTAAGATTTCGTCGGGATTTTCTATGTCGTGACAAGTGACAGCATTCGTTATTCGGCGTGATACGACGTGATGTCTGGCTTGAAGTTATTCACCCAACCGTGCGAAGCATGAAAAGCTTCCAAATGTACTTCTTTAGCTGCTTTTAGCGCCCACCGCTGTAGAGCAACGTCGTGCAGAGGCAGAGCTTGTTCCCGAGCATGCAAAATATTTTTAAATACAATTTCATCAATATCGTTGGTCTTTTGTCGCTTCGTTCCGTGTTGATGCAGATATGTACGAAATCGACTTACATACGATTGATTTGGAACTGATTTGTAACTGTGATGGACAGTCTTCCATGATCGACGTCGTTTCCCATTTTTGTCTTTTTCGTCAGCGTAGTCGACTACCTCCTGCATAAAATCTAGTGAATAGTTAGCCAAGTGATGTTTATCTTTCTCGCTTTTGCTTTCCTCTCCATTGACCTCTTCCTCCGATTCAGAGTTGTTATCATGATGCCCTTCCTCTTCATCACTGCTACTAGAGTAATCAAAGGGGTCATCATCAACGTCCATCGTAGTTTCTTCTGAATAACGATATGTCGTAGCACTTTTGACCGATTTGATGGTTTCATATAAGTTTTCTGCGAATTCGTACTCTTTTTGAGATGTTGGAGATGACGAAGTCAAACCCAAATCTAACGGACTAAATCACTCAAGCGATTTACTATATTCGAAACGTTCATGATGGCTGTAGCGAATAGACGTAAACGATGTATAGCAGGAACACCTTCAAATAGGAACCTTGTCACTTCAGAGTTTAAGCGAAACGTTCCGCGAAAGCAAAACTGCCAGCTTTTGCTTATTCCTTTCTGGCACCTGCTGATTATATTCGGAATCTCCGTCGTCGATTACCTATTTATTGTTCGTTTTTCATTGAAAAGTATGAAAGTCTAAGAACGTAATTTTGCCCTATGCAAAGTTTTGCTCTCCAGAAATCTTTCCAAAACCCTCGAAAAACTGTTAAAACACGTTTTTTATAGGTTTCGCGGTATGCTCTTTAATCTGGACAAGTTAAAAAAAGTTTTCGGGAGAAACGTTTTTTGGCCTTGAAAACTGGTTTTTTAAAAACTGGGTCTCAATAGAGCTAGCGGCCCAAATGATTGCCATATTCAGATTCAGCATACTTGATTACCTATTGTCCACTAGCTCACGGCTCAAAAGCGATTTGCCATTTGGTGTCCTTTCCTTGTCAGTGACAAGCGCGTGTTTTTCGTAATTTTTAGATAGTGTAACTTTTCTGTATATGAGGGTTGCTGCCACCGTAGTCGTTATTAGATTACATACGGCCATTATTGTAAAATATGGTCCAATCTGAATTGTCTGTACAATTGTCGCACTAAATGAGAGAACGATCGAAGTTAATGACAGCTGTACGAAGTTATTTGCAGATATAATTGCAGCTGAATTTTGTTGATATCGAATTGTATAGTACGAATAGATACCGGGTCGAGTGGCAGCCTGTCCTAGACCGTAGAACACTTGTCCAAGAATTAAAAATAAAATATTAGCACCGAATTGAACTGACCACCCGTAAATTATTAAACCAATTGGTGTTAATAATGAAAATATTAGTCCAGGTACAATACATCCTTCCACAATTTTTGACGTTTGAAAATATTTAATTGCTACTAAATCCGCTAGTTTAGCACCTACTATACTGCCAATAAACATTGCTATATAGACTGGTATGTAAAGTAGACCGATTATATTTACTTGATAATTGTATGGAGCCTTAGCTAGTTGGGTAGAGAATAGAAGGTAACCGACGTTGATCGAAACATAGCCGATGGCAAGTACGAAAACATATGGAATAATTCTAGAATCCTTCAAGTATAGTAGTGGTACACACGGATTCGTTAGAGTCGGTTTCGAAAGCTGATCTGACTCAGCTAACGTTACGTTATGTTCAGTCCTGTATTTATTTGCAACTTTGTACTGTTGTGTTTCTGGTACAAATAAGATGTAGCTGATCAAGAGAAAAAATGATATTAAACCCACCACAATAAACGTTGATCTCCAACCAAAATGATGAGATAACTGTCCACCGACTGCTGGACCTAGTAATACGGCAGAAAAATAGAAACCATAAAATACACCCGTAGCACTACCACGTTCATTTGCCACGTAGATATCTGCGATTGTGGCTTGACCAACCACCAATGTAACTGATACCAGACATCCTTGCAGTATACGACAGACCAAAAATAAATAGATGTTTGGTGAAAAGTAACATCCAATGACTGCCAATAGAAAACCAGCAAGTGCAAAGGATGTAATCAGTTTACGACCATAATAATCAGTCAATACTCCCCATATCAGTCCCGATAGACTAATTGCCAATAAATAAATACTAATTGTTAGTAAACCTAAACTTTCGGTTGTATGCAGATCAATAACCAGCGCTGGTAATGCCGGTAAATACACAGCTTCATCAAATGTTGCTAGAAAACCCATAAAACTTATAATAACTAATATTACTGTCTTTTTCAATTTCGTGTATGTGTCATAGATACTGAGATACGACATTTGTGTATCAACAGTAACTTCTGTTCCATCCTGCTGCTGCTGCTTCTCGACCCTCATTACCACACTTTATTTGGCGAAAGTATCGTCGATGTTCTGAAACGCACAGCTAAATAATTATACTATATTGTTATGCCACGCACTAATATCGTGCCATAAAAGAGAAGATCGAGCAGTTGCCTAATTCGAGTTCGAATATAAATGCATATTCTTTATATCTATATCTATATCTATATCTATATACATATACATATATTCAATGATATATACATAGATAGGTAGGGATATGTCCTGTA